ATTTTTCTATACAGACATGTATATATATATATATATATATATATATATATATATATACATATTTGTGTCTATTGATACATATATATATATGTGTATATATATATAGCGAGAGATGTGTATACACCTATAAATGTATACACATACGTGTATATACGTACGTATAATTATATATACTTGTGTGTATATATATATATATATATGTGTATATGTGTGTGTGTGTACATACGTACATACATACATACATAGACAGATACATACATACATGAATACGTACATAAACGCATTCACATACACATGCACATACACATACACACCTAAAGCAAGTAAATAAGTATGTATGTATGTACGCATGTATGTAGACGCCAGGGACGCCGATGACGCCAGGGACACCGGGACACCATATAGGGACGCGGGACGCCGGGGACGCCGGGGGACGCCAGGGACGCCGGGGACGCCAGACGCGGACGCCAGGGACGCCGGGGACGCCGGGGACGCTGGGGACGCCAGGGACGCCAGGGACCCCCGGCACGCCAGGGACGCCAGACGAGGACGCCAGGGACGCCGGGGACGCTGGGGACGCCAGGGACGCCGGCTTTGATGTCCAGGGCCCTGTGGGCCCGTATTAAGCGTGCATGTGCTCGCAGCTGCCGACGCCTCTCCTTGAGTGAAGTAAGGACTTCAACAGCCTCGTCAGAAATATAGGGGTGGCGCGGAACGATGCGATCTTGGCGATGTTCTGCCCTGGCAAGTCGGTGGAACCGATTCGCGAGAGCGGACGTGGCTCGCTCAGGATCCCCGGAGTAGGAAAAGCCCTCCCAAACGCGACTAGCAATGGCCACGGCCACAGAATCCGGGGGAATAGGACGCCGACGTCCGCCAGGGACATCCGCCGCAGCGTCGGCGCAGAATTGAAGATCGCATGAAACCGGAACGTGATCCAGAGTGCTGTTGACAATGTCGAACTCGGGCATACACCGGGAGGAGGTCGCCCGAACGACGCCGGCAGAAATCAAGATATGGTCATGACGCCGACACTTGCCGGAGGAGTGCTGCCACGTCCAAGTTTGCCCCTGGTGCAAGCGGCTCCAAGTGGCGCTTCCAGGAAATGATCTTGTGCGAAAGAAAGAAGCTGCAGATCCCCATCCCGAGGTGGTCGGCCGTCAACGAGATCGCCTATCAGCTGACTTTCACTGTCGGCAGCAGTGAAGTCAGCATTGGCATCGACTCCCATGAGGAGCGTCGTGGAAAGCGGCAAGGAGTGGATCTCGCGCCGTAGGACCAGAAGTCAACAATCTCCTGCTGAGGCCTGTCTGCGTGGGGTGCGTGGGCCGATATAATGACTATCGGGAAGTCAGGCTTTTGGCATCGGATCACCAAATACCTGGGTTCTGGAGCTGCAACTTTCCCCCAAAAGCATCATTATGACCCAAATCTCAACCCCGTATTGGCCCTTCTCATGCCCACTGCGCCACGTGAGATAAGGCCCGGAGGCATACCTTCCGGCATTGTTTCGGCATTCCTGCAGACAAAGCACATCGAGGGAGAGGGTCTGGGCCTGCCGCCCCAAGAATGCTCGGCGCTGACCCTCAGCGGCAGTAGAGAAGAAGAGCTTGCGGTCGTCCTTGATAGTCTGAATGTTTGCTGAGACAGCTCTGATGCTAACAGGGTCCCGCTCGACTCCTCTGGTCGCAGGGCCGGCTGGTGATGGGCTTGAGGTGGGCGGGGGAGGAAGCTGAGTGCCGTTTTCGGCCGAGACAGGCGGTGAGCTGGCAGTGGCTTGACTGACATACAGTAACGGTGCACCACCTTGCATTCGACAGCGGCGGACAGCCCAAAGCCAAGGTCCGAGCCGTTCCAAACGGGGAAGAAGACTAGCGGCAGTGCGGAGCGGAAGATGATGCCACTCCAGGCCCGAGGCACCACAAGAAGCAAGGGAGTCCGCCACCTCATTCACCAGAACCCCAACATGACTTGGGGTGTGACAGAAATGCAGAGTCTGCTGCGACTGAACCAGCTGCCACAAGCATCTCAACGACTGGGCCGCGCTGGTGTGAGTCGCCGAGAGCCCGGAGGCAATCTGCAAGGCCGAGGTATTATCGACCGCAACAGTGATGAGCCGAGGCGAAGTCCGGCACCAGATCTCATGCAGGCCACAATACGCACCGAGCCACGCAGCCGCTGCATGCAGTGCTGCCATTTCAGCGTGGAACGAGGCCTGTACATGGCTGAACGAGTCGGGGAGAGGATACCAGCAGACGGAATCAAAAGGACCGGCTGCACAGCCCAGGCGGTACCACGTGTGCTTGCGTCGGGCCCACACTGCAAAGGCCCATCCTCCGTGACCCTCACCGGAACCGTCCGTAGATACAAGCAGAGCTTCCGGGACACCCCCTGGCCATACAGGGAAACGTTGCCCCAAACTTGAAGGATGTCGTGAGGTCACAGTACGCAGCGCCAGAACCGTCCATGCTGACCTGTACTTGGAATGCCCGGTTTCTTATAAGTGGTTAAGTTGGTTATGTAGAGATAGGTAAAAGTTACTAACTAGTTAGCCTGTTTTATGTAACTCGTTGTAACTAGTTAACTTGTTCGTGAAATTAAGAGACTGATAAGGAAGTTGCGGCAGTCGCTGCAAAGAAAAATATGGCCAGGAGACAATGGAGCTCAATATAAAAGGTACTTGCAAAATGGGGCTGACACAAAAAACAAAAGACATGTCAAAGTCAACAGACAAATGGCTTGGATAAGAAACCTGTAAGACTGCATGCGAACTCGGAAAAGTATATATATATATATATAGTTAATGGCCAGCAGGCGTCTATAGGTCATTGTGACTTGGCGCCCCCCATGCCGGCAGGTAGCATTCCTCACACTCAAGACTGACATTGCCCCCGAGGTCGTGCCGGACTGTACTTGAGGCCGGTCTGTCAGCACGCTGCCTACTCCCTGAGCAGCACTCCGCCAGTTCAGCCATGCTGTGGTGAGCAACAGCCAGCCACGTACCACGGGTATGCAACCCATTGATCTGGGAGGGTATGTGCATGAAGGTGCTCACTCGACCCACGGCTGCAAGGTGGGACCCCCTCTGTGGGGAAAGGGTTTGCTGCCCAATAGAGTTGCCGAGGCGACGGCCAGGAAGACTCCAGTAAGATGTGGAATCCCAGCAGCCCTACCATTCCCATAAGGACGGCGCGTGTCGAGAGAGCGCCCGACCCTTTTCCTCCAGGGGAGTGCAAGAGGAATCGCAGACCCATGCTGACACCCAAGAGGCTCAAAGGGGGGCCGGCAGACATATGTGCGTCGCTGGTGGTGTCCGCAGCTAAGGCAAGCCAATCCCCGTCTCTAAGCTCAGGTTCTGGGAGTTCAGGCGGTTTATCGTTAACTCCAGCGGAAACAACGTAAGCTCCGTCTTCCAAATACATGGCAGCCTCGGCTTCGTGCAGATGGCGACAGACAGGGGTTTCCCCGGAAAGAAGCACAGTGCGACGCATCTTATCGGCTGAGCGGCGTAGCAGCCATGGCTTGCGACTCGGGCGAACTGGCATAGGCACCCAACGCCCATTGAGGGCACGACCACCAATGACTGCCGGCTGGAATGGTCATGGAGGTGGCAGCAGTGTCTGGTGACCATAGCACGACGACTCCAGAGTGGACCACCATGAAGGAGTTGTGCCACACCGCTTCAAGACCTGCCTCTTGCCAATCCGCAAACCAGGGCCACGTCACAGGCTGCCGTAGCGGATGTGCCGAAGCAAGGGCGATGGAGAGTCGATTGCCGTTACGCAGATACAGGTTGGAATCAATGACACCAAGGATCAGGCACGGCGACGGGGCGCCAATCCGAACCGGTACTCCAACTCGCACAGTCATGGCAGTCTTGAACGCGTCAAGGGTGATGACAGTGGGCAAAAGCACAGCGAAACCTCGGACGACCAGCTGTAGTGAGCCCCTGCACAGAGGCGGGTTACAGACCGCTACTCCCTGGGTGCCCGTTGCTTGCCTTTGCTCAGCGGAATTTTGGAATTTTTTTTGGAGACCTTTTTGGAAAATATCTTTTTTGCACAACCTGCTCTTTTTCCCGGTCTCGGGGAGGCCATCAAACCGAGGAAAGAAAATATCTCAGTTACAACCTACAAAACCACCACTTTCAACAGCAGCAGCAACAACAACAACAACGACAACAGCTTCAGCGTCAGCATCAGCATCAGCAACAGCAGCAATAACAGCAACACCAACACCAACGTCCACACGAACAAACAACAGCAGCATCAATGATGACCAGGCCAACAACAAACAGACAACAAACGAACTAAACAAGTACACAAACAAACAAGCAAGCAGAAACAAACAACCCAACTTCGCCAGCCAGCCAACCAGCCATACAGCAAACCAGCCAACCAACTAAGCAACCAGCCAGCCAACCAGCCAACCAGCCAACCAGCCAACTGGCTAGCTAACTAAATAGCTAGGTAGCTGATTAGCTGACTAGCTAACTAACTTACTACCAAGTTGGTCTAACCACAACAACACACAACAAATAACAATGCAACCGTTCTGGGTCTCAGGCTAAGTGTAAGTGTCTTTAATGCTTCAGTTTCAGGGTGCGCTTCAATATGTTTAAATCGTCTCTGCGGTTTTCATGCTGTTTTGAGCCTCGGCCTATCTGTTAGCCGACGAAGTGACCAGACTGAGCTTTTGTGTCGTTGCGACTGTGTGCACTTGTGAGTTTATCATCTTTTCCACATCTCATCTCTTAAGGATGTGCTTCTGATTGTGATTAGGAGTGTCGACCAGCATGATTTGTCGTCGCATGATACATGCAGCTTCGGACTCCAAACCAGAAGATATTTCCAACTTGGGACAAAATATTTGCCTTTCTCGGGCTCCAAGCTGGCTGCTTAGACTCAGACTCGCCCATGGGGGGAGGCTGCTTCGGCCTCAGATCGGGCTGCTTCGGCCTGTCAAGCAGACGCAGCGCTCAATCCAAGACCCGGCTTTGAATGGCTGATGCGGCCAATAATAAAAAAAAGGCTGATACGGCCAATCAAGAAGAGGCTCAACTGAAGTGGGCCCGTTTGCGCTCGAAGTGGCAGCAGGCATGCGAGCTGCCTGGCCATGGGACTTGGCTGGATGTGAAGCTCGCACCTTGGGGTGTTGGGTGCAAAGCTTGCAAAGCAGCTGGACTCACAGGCAGCCTTGCCCAGTACAGGGTGAGGACGACAGCTGGCCTCCAGATGCAGAACTTCTTGAAGCATCAGAAGAGCGCAAGCCACAAGGAGGCAGTGTCACAGTTTGTGGGCGGTTCCAGCTCCACTGAAGTTGGAGCTCCCCCACCTCAGAGCTTTGAAGCACTTATAGACGAGATTTCGGCTGGAAGGCCTCCTGGCTGCAGAAAGAACAGGCAAATGACTTTTTGCTTGGCTGAAGCCGCAAAAGCTCTAGACCAGGACTTCGTGGCCAAGGCTTCAAAGGTGTGTCTCTTCAGAGACGAGCGAAAAGGACGGTTGCTGCTCAGATTCCGGGCTGTTGACAAAAACCTGCTTGTCCGAAGTGGCACCATGGGGTTGGCTATCCAGCCAGGCACAGGGGCGAGGAACATTACTGAAGCGACTCGAAAGATCATGAAACGATTTTGCACGCGCTTCGCAGGCTGCCCCAACTCATCACGCAAAGACAAGAAGGCAAAGCCTTTCCTGAAAGTGAAACTCTTCAAGCACCTTACAGAGTCTGTTACTTGCATCGCAGTTGACGCCGCCGCAGATGAAGTTCTGAGCTCTGAGCTCATGCGTGCTTCGGCGTGGAACGGCAGCCAACAGAAGCTGACTCCCAATCTTCGCTTCGTGGTTCGTGACAAGGCACACGCCAGTCGCCGAATTACGTCTCGTCCTTGGAGTGCGGATGATGTGCTTAAAGATGTTATGCAGTTCATGTGCGGCGGCCGGCATTCTATTGCTAAGTTGCTTCAATTTAGCGAAGAAATCAAGCGTATATTCGTGGAATTTACAACGAGCACCGACACGGTGCTAAAGCGGGCAGTCTCCAATTTTCGTGCTGCTGCACATCGCTTCGAATCACACGCTAAACCACTTGGCCGCACATGCCTCTACATTCATGCTTGTATCAGAACAGCTCTGCGCCTTACCAAGACTCGCAGCGACGCAAGTGGGCAAAAGGCAAAGGCATGGCTCGTGTGGCTGTCGGAAGAACGGGCTCTTCTGGCAGCGATGTTGGCTGATGCGGCCGACTCGCGGCTGACTCGGCTGATGGACACTGAGAGAGTTGATCCGGCCATGCTGTGCCGCGAGGTGTCTTTGTATATGTCTTCTGTGAAGGCACTGTTCCTGCATGGTGCTTGCTTTACGGAATTCGGCTTTACATCGACGATGTTGGAGACACTGAAAACACCCATCGTTTTTCAGTTGGGTTCTGAAACGAAAAGCTTTGGTGACAGCAGCGGTGTGCCCGAGGAGATCAAACAGCGGTGCCTGGCCAGGATGCAAGCATGGCTTAAACTTGCTGAAGCGGCGGTAGCTGCGGAATTTCCTTCCTTCGAGATTGCTCAGGCCGGGGTGGTTTAACTGAACGTTACCTAAACCCTAAACCCCTATTGTTTCCATTGCTACTATATTGATTTTTGAATTAATTATCTTAGACGTGGTTGCTTTTTTGTTGCTTTCACTAGAATACAACAACAATAATAAGACTATTGATGATGTACTTTGTGCACCGGCCACAGGCTTTCGACGTGTTCGACCTCAGCGGTGTCTCTCACAACGCCGACGAGAAGCTCCAGCGGGTCGCCAAAGCCTGCAACCTGGACGCGCAGGCGCTGAAAGCACAGTGGCGGGATGTGTTTCCACGCGCCGAGAGGCTTCTGAAACAGAGCACGGACGTGAATGCCAAGAACAAAGATGCATGGGCCTTGGCTTTGGACCGTTTATGCCAACATCACTATACGAAAGGCCAACACCCGGTCGAAATCCTCAGAGAAGCATTGATCCAGTACTTTTCTTTTGGGGCCAGCAGTTCCGGTGTTGAACAAAGCTTTTCAAAGTCCCAATGGGGCTTTGGCACACGCAGAAATTCTGCTCTTCATTCCACTGAGGAATTTTCAGTCAAGGCTTTACTTGACCTTCCGACTGTTGCGGCCTCGCAAAAAGACCGGCTGATTCGGCTGGCTCGGCTGACCTGGGTGAGCTGCTTCGGCCAGTCAAGGTCATCAACGGCAGAAAGGGTAGACAAAGGCAGCAAAAGAAAAACCGAAGACGAAGAAGCTAAGCCTGCAACGGAGGCTGCTTTTTTGCGCAAGCGCCGACGTGGTGAGGCGCTGGCTGCTGGGCGCATGGAAGGCAACTCTGATGTTGCTCTTGACCTGCACGAGCAAGTTTGGACACAAAAGCACCAGAAGGAACTGGAATTTCAACAGAGGAAGAGGAAGATGCGAAAGCTTCAAGCCTTCTCCGAGAATTCTTTGCTGCAGTGCGAAATAGAGGATGGTATGCAGCAAGAATCCGAAGCATGTCACAAAAACATGATACAAAGGGAAACCGCCCGTCGAACCAAAGAAAAAAAGATGCTTCGGGCAGAAAAAGGCTGCTCGCGAGCCGACTTAAAGGCTGCCTGGGGAGGAAAGAAAGTTTATCTGGCTGTTCCGGCCAATATGCACTTAGTGCAGGGAATATCAGACATGGGCCTTGCGGTCACGAACCAAGCGTCCGCAGCGACAGTTATTGTTTGTTCCAAGCCCGGACATATGCAAGACCCGCGGCTTCGATTGCTTGCTGGGCTGCAAGGTTGCTATGAAGTCGCTCCTTCATTTTTTCTGACTGGTCAGGGCGCGGTACTGAAGAGGCGGGCGGCTGCTGCGATCAAGCGAGTGCTCATTGTGTCCAAGGCATGCGCCAAAAAATGTCCTAAGTTCTGGAGATTCCTGCGAAGCTGCCTGCCGGAAAATCACAAGTGGACAATGGCCAAAACGGCTTTGTCCGCCATTCGAGCAGCACACGGACGCTTTCCCGAAGAAAAACGTCTGGGTTGTCGTCCTTCCCGGCCAGCGAAATCACCAGGACATTCGAGGGCTCCCGAATGTGTTCACGATGCAGTCGTTGCCAAAGCGCATCTGCAACGGCTTTGACCCCGGCCTCTCCAGAAGTGGCTCTGCGCTGACGTGACGCAAAAATCAAATGAAGCTGGCTTGTGCATGGCCGTTCTCTTGACTCGGTTTCTGAAGTTCACTAAGCTTTATATCTCCTAGCTTCTTAGCTTATCGTTATCTAAAATAAAAATCAATCATTTTTCATGTAGTGATGTTGTGATATCGATGCTTTTGGCTCAATTCACAGCTAAAATTTAAAAGCTGTCGGCTGCTCCGGCCTGGCCGTCTCTTGTCAAAACCGGCTGCTTCGGCCTGTCGTCTCTCGGCAAAACCGGCTGCTTCGGCCTGCCATGCCGAAACAAAGTGCGAACACGAAAAAGCCAAGGGTTCCACGAGTTGTGAAATTTGGATCAGACTTCTCAGGCTTGGACAGCGCCTGGCTGGCCTTGAAACGCATGAAAGTAAAAGCTCAGCTTTGCTTTAACAGTGACAGTGATGCTAACTGCAAAAAGCTGCTGCAAAAGATCCACAAGCCTGAGGCCTTTCACGACGACATTGCAGCCAGGAAGCCGCAAAGTGAGCAGTACGTGGACCTCTACGTAACAACACCGCCATGTCAGCCGTTTTCCATGGCTGGACAAAAGAAAGGCCTCAAAGACAACAGGTGTCAACTGCTAAAATTTAGCGTTGCTTTTGTCTCTCGCCAAAGCCAAGAGTGGTGGTGCTTGAGAACGTGGCAATGTTCGCAAGTAAAAAATTCAAGCCAGTAACCCGAGGACTGCAGCGAGCTTTCAAGAAGCTTGGCTACGTTTGCTTCGCGCGAGTCTTGAACCGCAGCGCAGACTCCAAGGTCTCGCAAGCCCGTCGTCGTTTCTTCTTAGTTGCGATTAGGAAGGACAGCCTCCACCATCCCTTTCACTGGCCGCAACCTGTGGGAAAAAGAAACTTGGAGGATGACTTGGACCCAGTGAGGCCAAGCGACCGGCCCGGGCGGCTGCCGAAGACGAAAAGGGCTAGAGACCTTGCGTTGGCTGCTTACGGCCAAGTTTGGAAGAAACAAAAGCTAGATCCCAGACAGGTCCCAGTTGCCGTGGACATTGACTGCTCTCCCCAATTTGCTTCCTACGGCGTGAACCAATTGAAAACTTTGACAAAATCAAGAGGCAGCTGTGGCGGCCACTGGCTGTCCAACCGAGGCCGCAAAATGACGATCAATGAATTGATGCGAGTGACGGGTATCAACCCCATCGAACTCCGTGGCTACAAAGAAGAAGGCATCAGCGATGCTCAACTCGGCGGCATGCTGGGTAACAGCATCCCTGTGCCCCTCATCTTAGGAGTGCTGACGCAGGCCATGAAAGCAGGAGGCTTGTTGTTTGTGCCCAAAGGACAAAAGGAGACTTAGACGCCAGAGCTGCTTCGGCTCTAAGTCAAGGCTGCCTCGGCCTGTGCTTCGGCTGCATCGGCCGTCCGGGTACGCTGTCTTCGCACCCGTGCTCTCAAACGGTTTCGCCGTCAAGTTTGCAAAACTGTTGAGTGTGCCGTCATGTAAGTTTATAAGATGCATGTAATTTAAGCTCTCTGTGTGTGTGATTTACTATAATAAAATTATTCTAATGCAAAATCATTTACTGTCCGCTTCGTAACACCCTAAATTTACTAAACCTAGTCTTGGAGCTTGCATTGATCGCTGACACTTTGAGATTTGTCTATCTGCTGCTGCCGCTTCCATCACAGGTGGGAACCTTAGGTCTAGCGGCGTTGCCTTGTGGCTGAATCGGCCGCCCGAACGGCTGAAACGGCCGGCAGCATCTGTTGCTTTAACGGCTGAATCGGCCGTCCAACATCGGCCAAGCCTGGCTGCAGTGGAAAGCTGGGCTCATGCCGCTGCCTGCTTCGGCACCATTGGTTTTCGCTCGTAAAATGAGAGAAGATATCGAAGAAAAACACTTTAGATGATTACGATTTACAAGACTGGCTGGATGAGCTGACAAACTTGAGAGACATGGCGGTGCAGTACCACGTTTGGATGGCGCAAACGGACGCAGAGTCAGAGGCCTGCCATGCCGTCGTCAACCTGGCCGACGGCATCACTTTGGTTCTCGGTGGCTTGGACGAGGACGAAATGTCCGATGCGCCATCCGTAGTGGTGCACTCAAGTCTTCCTCAACAGATAGAACCGGCACCCAGCAATATCAGTTGCAGGGCATTTCAAGCTATGCGCTGGATGCCTCCTACTGAATGGAACAGTGCGGCATTCCATTTTGACAGGGCATGCCAGAGCCTTGATTTCATGCGTCGTATAACTGCCCTGACGAGGTTCGAGACAGCAGAGAAACATAGCTTAGACCGAACGCTGGGCCAAGCGCAAGGACAGCTTTTCGATGCTCAAATGATACTCCGCGGCTGTGCTGTAGTTCGAGACGAGGTTCGTCGTCAAGATGCGACCCAATCCGACAATACCTTGGGCTCAACTTAAAGGCTGACTCGGCCTTCACGAAGCTGCAAGCTTGAGCTCCAAATAATTAGAAGCTTTTGAGTGTTTGAGCTGGGGCTGCTTCGGCCCACGAATATCAGCTGCATCGGCTGCGATGTCAAGGTGCTTGAAGGCTTAGGAGCTGTCTGAGCACGGTCCGCGTGGTGGGCTTGCAAAACAAGTATTTCGGATTCTTTGTTTGCATACCAGGTATAAATTATAGGGCTTCGCTTCAAGGTCTGGGCTTTAGATCTCATGAACATTGTCGCCTTATGGTTTCGGGCTGAAGGCTGCAGTGTCTAGGAAATAAAATTGAGCCTTAAAATCAAGTATGAGGTAAAGCTAGTTCTGGGGTTTAGGATGTATCTGAAGTAAAGGATAACTGAGTTGTTACGGGTGTTGTTACGGGTTTAGGGGTCTAGGGCTGCAACGTTTAGAGTTTTAGGGCTTGCGGCGTGAACTTTAAGGACTTTAGGGTTTAGGATTTATGCTTAACTTTGGGATTAGATCTTTTGGGGTTTAGGGCTGTCTTGGAGGGCTGCTGATCTCCTCAGAACTACTCCCGGGTTGGCCGAAGGAGCAGACGAAATGACCTCTCCACACGCAGGCCGGTGACGTCCCTGAACTGCGAAAGGAGAGGGTGGTGAGAGGGCGAAATAGAAATTCCGTTGAGCAAACAATTTCCTAAGGACTCTGTCCCCCCACGCCCCTCTCCACAGGACAGTCGGGGACGTCCCTGCGCTGCGAAAGGAGAGGTCGAATTGTCCTCTCCTTAGGCATTCCAGCCGGCCAAAAAAAAATTCCGCTGAGCGCATCAAAGAAACAATGCACGAACTCGCTTCGGGGACGTCCCTGCGAATAGAAAATCAGATGCGATAGCTAGAACATGCTAGAACTAAGGAAAGCCTATCAAAAAAATTCCGCTGAGCGCGACAAAAGAAAACCACCAACTCGCCTCGGGGACGTCCTTGCGGGCAAACTATTGAATTTACAAGACTCAAAATTTAATTAGGTGAGGTGGTAGAAGCAAGGCCTATATGTAAAAAAACGTTAGGATCTGCGAAACAAAAAGCACCAACCCGCCTCGGATTTCCTTGCATGTTTTTTAGGAAAAGATCGCAAAAGGTGTTTGTTGTAGTTTTCCAAGCAGGGTTTAGGCATGTTCTGCAGCCGTAGAAGTAGGTAGCTCCCGTGCCGCGCTGCGCTTCTCACAGCTTTACTACCGCAGCCGCACCTTTTACAGTTTGCTGACATAGCTTAGTTTGCTAGGACCCCGTGCCTCTGCTTCCGTGGCTGTTGCGGCCAGTCGGAAAACTTTAGGCTGCTTCGGCCTCTTTGCGTCTGGCTGCTTCGGCCTGTGTGTGGCTGCTTCGGCCACTAAAAGAGTTGTGGCTGCTCCGGCCATGTCTGGTGATGCGGCTCAGATGATAAATGAGCGCCTCGTGCTGGACTGTGGAGGTGTTTTGTCCGTGCCCAGCCAGTACGGTCAAGAAAAGTACGATGGCGACGATATTTACAAGTCCGCGATTCCTGGAGCATATGCCTTCTGCCAGAAGTTCATGAAGCAGTATGGCAGCAATGAGCTCCAGGTGATCAGCCGTGTCAACTTCCCCTCCAGCAAGAAGCACTGGGTGGTTCGCTTCTGCGAGTCACTCGGTCTCTCCGAGAACCAGGTTCACTTGGTTACCGACAGGAAGGACAAGGGGCCGAAAGCTCGTGAGCTGGGGTGCGCCGTAGCTGTGGACGACCAGTCCGACTGTTTGTATCACATCGGTGTGTGCTGCCATGACATTTTGCACGACGTGAAGCCGCTGATCCTGTTCTCTGAGAAAGGCTACAGGAACACCCAACACAAGTGGGACAATTGGGTCCAAAACCGAGTCACCCGTACCACGTCTTGGCTTGACGTGGCTCGCTTCTGTGCCTTGGACGTGTCAGGCTGGGAGGAGCTTGGCCAAATCGGTCCTCCCAATCGCTGGCACAACGAAGCCACGACAAAGAGATGGTTTCAAATGTGTGAGCCACGGCCCGCGGCTGCTCCGGCCGCAAAGCAAAAGAAGGAAGTAACGGCTGAACCGGCCGAGGAGCTTCCAAGGAAAAAAACGAAACTAGAGACGACGGCTGCTTCGGCAAAAAAGAAAAAACCTGACGACGAGTACTCGTACGAGTACTACAGCGACTCAGACGACAAGCCCGCCGCCCCGTCCGCGTCGTCCTCGTCGTCGGAGCTGTCTGTCCGCGTAGTTAAAGGGGAAACAAAAGCGGCTGCTTCGGCCGACGAAGACGACAGAGCGGCTGCTCCGGCCGAAAAGGACGACAGAGCGGCTGCTCCGGCCGAAAAGGACGACAGAGCGGCTGCTCCGGCCGAAAAGGACGACAGAGCGGCTGCTTCGGCCGAAAAGGACGACATCGCGGCTGCTTCGGCCGAAGAGGACGCAAAGAAAGAAAAAAAAGAGAAGAAGGATAAGCGGGAGAAAAAGCATAAACATGATGATAAATATTATGATAAAAAGCCGGCTGCTTCGGCCGTAAACCTCAAGCCGAACCCAGAAACTGAGAGGCGCGCTCTCAGAGACGAGATGCGGGATCTGGCTGAGAGAACCACCATGATGGCTGAGAGAGCCGAGGCAGCCGCGGCTCAAGCGTCAGCCTCGTCGTCGCAGCGTCCACAAGAGGCTTCCTTCACGTCCTGGCAGGGCCGAAACCCCGACTCGGAGTGGATGCGACGCAAGAGAGAGCGGGCCCAACAGTACCGCGAAAAGGGGGGCCGTCCTCCAGGACCTCGAATCACACCCTGCAGTTATTGCAAACACTGCAAAAAAACCAACCCGGCGCCTACTGTCCCGGAATACTCTGCCGAGCATGCTGCGAGATGTGGCAGTCTTGGGACAAGAACTACAGGTGCGAACAGCACGGCCGCCGCTAGAGTGAAAAAGACAGCCTTCGTTCGGCTTCGTGGTTTAGGATTTAAGGGTATTTAGTTTAGGGTATTTAAGTTTAAGCCCGAAGTTAAAACCCAAAACCCAAACCCTTCCCTAAACCCCTTATTCCCTAATTAAGTTTCCCCAGGCCCTAGAGTTTCCCGAAACTCTAAACCATTCTAAACCCTAAGCCCCAAAAACTTACGAAAGAAAAAGCTTCCCCAAAACATACTTAGGACTTAATTATAGTTTCGCGAAGCATTGCTTAGCCCTTCAAAGTGCCCTCAGACCCTACAACCCCTAAAGCCAACAGTTTCACAGCCCTAGAACCCAATTTTTTTTAAGCCACGCATGCTGAATCAGAACCACCCGCAGCTGTTACAACTCAAGTTGCAAAGCAAACACACTTCTGGCTGCCTCGGCCACTCCTGGCTGCAGCGGCCATAACTGACAAAACAAAGAAGGTTGTAGCCTGGCTGACACGGCCAGTGTGGCCAGCTGAGGTGGAAATGCCACCGAAAAAAAACCCAAGGAAAAGGCAAAGGCAAAGGCAAAGGCCAAGTCAATTGAAGGAGTGACGGCCATGGCTGATTCGGCCTGGGCGGACAATTCTCAGGGCAACCTGTGCGCGGAACACTTGATCCGCGTGCACGAGGCCCTTAAAGCGATCCGCGACTGTTCTGTTTTTGACGGGATCGATGCGGCAGAACCGCTCACGATTGCTCAGGGCGGGCATCAAGAGCCTTTCGCGATCGGCCAAGCTGTCAAGGTCTTCCAGAGGGATGCCACAGCCCACTACTCCTGCGGCGGGAACTTCTTTTGGTGCGATCAAGTCTGGATGGCAAACCATCGGGTTCCGATCAACAAAGGGCAGGTGCAGGAAATCCAGCGCTTTTACCTGCCGCCCATGGATCCACCGAAAGAATTCACGTATGAAGTCGTTGCGGCTGTTTCGGCCGCCTGTGACGAAGAATTTCACAAGAAAGGCAGCTTTCAGCGGCTGTCTCCGGCCGAGCCCTGCCATGCTCTGTTGTTTTCCATCCACGAGGCTATCTCCGCAAAGGCACCTGAACCTATTCTTCGTCGATGGAAAGAACTGCTGCTCACCACACCGTTTCGCTTTGAGCTCGTCCCACAGGGTGAAGCAAGATTTTGGCGTGCTCAAAACCTACGGGAGGAAATGGTTGAGCGCGGCATCACTGTTCGGCTTTCGGTGCGGCAGCGGATCTACGACGTAGCAGGCTTCAAAGCCAGCAAGGAGGCTGCCCTGAAAACTACACTGGGGGCTGCCGCCGTGGCCAGTGCCTATCAGAAGCACCTGAAAGCTTCGGCTGGCTCCGAGATCATCTCGGAATCATTCGTGGACAGCGCCATAACCGTGCACGACAGACTGCTGAGTATTCCAGCTTGCAGTGTTTTGCTGGAGGAGCTGGATGCCCAGTACTTGAAGGGCAACCCACTGTCCAGCATCTATGCTTTCCAAGCCATCATTGACAAGGCACAGACCCCAAAGCACATCACTTGGGCAGTGGAAGGAATGATAGATGGTTTTCGCAAAGGCTTCGTCGAGCCAGGCTTCTTCGCCGTGAGCAAGCTGCGAGACGCTCGGAACAGTGTCTCGGACCTTCGTGATCAAATTTTCTGGGCTCATTTTCAAGTAGTTTGCTTTTAATAAATATCATTATAATCATCTAGATGCAAAAATTATGGTAACTTAAACTTTGCCATAACTTGCGATAATCAGGCTACGTGGAAATCTTGAAGCTCAAGCTGGCCGTGAAGAACCACTTGCTCGAGGAATGGCTCACTGGAAGCACGTTTCCGGGCAAAACCAAAGAAGACCTGCGGTCAGCTTTCAGCAGCTTCACTCACGTACGAAGCAAGTACAGCCCGTACAAAGAAGAAACTCAGGCTGATACGGCCTGGATCTTGGGCGCAAAAGACTCAGTTGTTCTGGCAGCAGAACTTTTGATGGCCGGTACAGGGATGCGTTGAAATCGAAGCATGAATGCGCTGACGTGCTCGGTTATCCCAGCATCAAGAAAAAATAGAGGATATCGAGGCAGCCTTGAGAAAGGAGTCTAAGCCCGCCGAAGTTCTGTTTGAAGTCCCGGCTGCTCCGGCAGGGTCTGGCGATGCCCCAGCATCGTCGACGGGCACTGGTTCGGCTGCTTCGGCCGCAGAAGAGGCCAAACTCACGAAAGACGAACAACAACAATGGAGGCAGTTCATGCTCAAGAATCTTCGCAGTCAAGTTCGCTTCGTGTCCGACCACAAAGCCGCTTCCGACCTTGAACAAGCCATCCGCGACTGCCCGTTTTCGAAACTCAAGGGGGACCCGACGGGTCTGGTGCTGTTACACTTCGATGTGAAAAAGTTCGGTGAGTCTGCGACCAGGCCAGACCTTCGTCTACCGCCCCTTCGGGATGGACCGTACACACGCCTCGTCCGTGCCGTCATGACGGCCAGGCAGAGCGAAGGCTCAGCAGCGGCTTTGCAGCCAGGCGAAGTCGCAGTGTTGCTGGATGGCTTCAAGAAGGGCGCCAAGCAAAAGCTTATCAACCCTTGGAAAGACGGCACCCGCAAAGAAGCCAAGGGGAAAGGGTCTACTAAAGAAGACGAGGATGAAGATGATGGCGACGGGGATGACGACGACTGCGAGGAGGAGGAAGACACACGGCCGAACCTGGTCTCTGACTTGCTGCAGATTGGCTACACCGAAGCGAGCCTAAACGCCCGACGCCAAAAAAAACGTGGCACATGCACGATCAAACAGATTGAGTGGGCGCACGTGCTGTCTTCCAAGAGGCTCTCTCTTCCGGCCAGGGAGCGCAAGCATTACGGGCCAGGGTCAAGCACAGGCGACCTCATCTCAGGAGTGGACCTGCCGAAACTGTCCACTGAGTGGTGCCTCCCATGGCAGCAGAAGAAGACCCTTTACGGGAAAAAACATCTGATCGCCGTTGGGGGAAAGACTGAACAGAAAAATCAGACATGGATCGCTTGGGCAACAAGCCCGAACCAGTTTGCTTTCATTCTATGCCTGGGGCATTTTATTCAGAGCTCATGCACTCCTTTTGGGCGAAGATGGTCATCGATCTAACGCCAGGCGACGGCCGATTCGCTTTCGAAGCGCTGAAGGCCAGGGTGGGCTACATGGGAATAACCTTCACCCCTGAACACAGCCAATTCTTGGAAGAGCACCTGCTTGACTTGATGAAGCTGGAGATGTGTGACACAGCAAGTCCGCTCTTCAATTCGGAATACGCAGCGGCGGTGGGCAAAAAGGTTCCCAAGGCCAAAGCAAATCCAGCGCCTGATGCAGATCCCAAAAAGAAGCCCAAAACAAAAGCTACTCCCAAGCGCAAGGCTGAGGAGCAGGAGGCTGATCCTGATCCCAAGGCTAAGCCAAAGAAGAAGGCTAAAGCAAAGAAGAAAGCCGAAAAGGATGCGGATCAAGAACCCGAAGACGATGACGCGGAAGAAGCAGAGGACGAAGAAGCAGAAGAAGACGACGACGTCTGGGATCCTCTCGCTACGTGAGCAGCTGCGTGCTGCTTCGTCTGCTTCGGCCAGGTGCGAGGCTGCTTCGGCTTCGCAGGCTGCTTCGGCCAGGTGCGAGGCTGCTTCGGCCATCAGTTTTTTAAAGGGCTGCTTCGGCCATCAATCCTACCAGTTTTACTTTCAACCTTACCACAGGCTTCAGTTCCTCAACACATGTTCGGTTGATACATATTCTCAAAGTTAAGTTCTAATTTGATTCACAGAAACCCCTGAGCCCTGACCCTTAAACTTAACCTAAACTCCGGTTTGAGATTTAGGGGCCTCGGGAGCCTGTGGTCTTGTGAGCGCTTGGCTGAGAAAAAGTGACTCTGGGCTCAGGCGTCTCTCAACCCCAGGTGGTTTTGGATAGGATATGTTTTCTTTCAGACCGACCCATGATGTTGAAGGCATACTTTTCAACTCACCGCTTGTTCTTGCCTTCATGAGCTGCTCAATCATCCTTGGTCTGCACGTACGGAAACTTATTGTTGATTACGAGCAGTTCAAGTTCGCATGTGGCTGAACGCAGGTTAAAATCATGTTCAAGGTATTTTCATTTCTCGGTGAACCCTTTATGATCATATGCCCATTGGGTGCTCACAGGATTGTCGGATGATGCGATGTACATAAATAGGGTCTTGCTAAGACAAGCCGAGCTTCGGGTGGAACCTCTTCTGCTTGTCCATCCAGCCGCCGTTCACATACTTCCCGCCATTGCGCAGGAGCTGTTCGAGGAGCTTTCGTAGCCACGGCAGCCACCACGGTTCGGCACCCAGGGCTTCTTCACCTTCCACGTCTTGGCTGGCGGCCATGTCTCATCCGCCCATGTGCACGTGTGCACACCGAAGTCCTCGGCATCGTCCCACCATTCGGTCTTCTCCCATTTGCCATCGGCAGCATCCCACATGCCTCCGTCATCATCCTTGACATCCCACATGCCGCCATCATCGTTCGCATCCCAAGCGCCGCCATCATCGGCAGCACCATCATCGGCAGCCCATGTGCCACCGCCATCGCCCGAGGAGGTGTCCTCGGGCACCTCCTCCTTGCAAACCACGGCCTCAAGAGACCGCTCCATGGCAAATGAAGCCGCGAAAGCTTCACCCACAATCACCTTTTGGCCCAAACTGCGACATGGTAGTGCACTGCACAGCAACTCAAGTCAGGAAAGCATCATTCGACATGTTTGAATGCACAAGCAGAAAAATCAAACTGCATCGGGCATGTCTGGCTGCAATCATGACTGGAGCATGCTACCACCATAGAACAATCAGATATGTTGGTCTATAAAGCAAGATAAGACAACGTAACCTAATACAACACAACAGAATAGAATAAAGTACACTATAATAAAATACATGATATCTCAAAAGGTAGGACAAGATAAAAAGGATTTCGAGGCAATATCATGTCCTATCATCTAAGATAAAATACAAGATGCCATATAATGTGAGACAAGGAATGCTGCAATTCATTGAAATGGAATATATATTATCATATAAGATACAGAAGTAAATAAAAATAATATAACAACATACAAAGCAGTCGTGGATAGATAGACAGATAGGTAGATAGACAGATAGATAGGTAGATAGATAGATTATTCGATAGATCGATAGATTGATAGTTAGATAGATAGATAAATAAGTGATTAGATACACATATACATATAGATAAGTAGATTGATAGATTTCCTTGTTGTATATATATATATATATGTATATATATATATATACATGTATATTTGCATGTGTATATATCTATATATATATATATATGTGTGTATGTGTGTATGTATATATATGCGTACATATATATATATATATATATGTATATATACATATGTACATATATATATACAAACATTACATTGGTACATTGTGAAAGCACTCGCGAAATGCCTGCACGAAAGTTTTGGCACGGCCGCGCACACAAAGGCAAAGCTGCAACCACCTGGAAAACTGAGCTGCAAAAACCTCGAAAACTGATGCACTGACAAACTCGCGGGATCACAAGTTCTCGGCGGCTAACGGGACGGCTTCCTGCTCGGGCTCGCTACCGTGATCTTCGTCGCGGAGTGGTTTATGTGGCTTGCGGCCTCGCTTCCTCCTCTTCGGACTGCCCGCTGCAGCTTTCCCTCGAGCTCGCTTCGGAGGCGCCGGGGCGGCTGCAGACGAGTGCAAGATAGCCAAGCGAACATAATTCAAGTTTTCTGTCGTGAGTTCAACCCAGAGCTGCTCGCCCTTGATGCCCCAAAGCATCCTCATCTGATGTTCTGCATGTACCTCATCATCGTCAGCATTCTGCACAGCAGGGGCCAGCACCTGCACGGTGCGACCAGCAAGGTACTCGTCCTGCTGTGTGGCTGCCCGAATCTTCTGCGGGATTGGTGTTCCTTCCGCCTCGGCGGCCTCTTTGATCACCCGTTTGAGTGATTCTTGGCAGGCTTCTTTGCGAAGCTCGGCCACCGTAGAGAACCATTGCCTATTGATGTTGTGTTCTTTGCCACTATGCAGCCGCAACCCTTTGCCTGTCACAAACAGGGTGAGGTCGCGATCCCATTTGTTTAATTTGATGTAGTTGCATCCAGACACTACTTGGACCGCGGGTTGCCACGTCGCCTTTTTGAGGCCTGCCCCCTCGATGGTGATGGCCGTGAAAATCCTGATGGGCACTTCCTCCTGATTCTCGTCCTCCTGCTCAGGCTGATGCTCCGACTCATCCGACATTGCTTGAAAACTCCGAACAGCGAGCCAGGCCCTGCTGTTCCTGTCAGCGAGCTGTAGCCCTGCTGACAGAATGAACAAAGTGTTCAACTAGAGCCGTGAGTCTTCAACTGCACACATCCATGGAGTTCCCTGCATGGACAGTCACGCAGGCAGACACACCCGAGGGTTCCATGCCATGATGTATACCGAACATGTTTTGGCACGGCTGCAATCTCATGCTTTGCACTGCCCAGGCTGAAACCTGGCAAAAGCGGTGCATGCGAAATGGAGGTGATGCCTCGCCACATGACGAATCTCCAGAGATCATCTTGAAAGCTATGTAAACCCCATTGATTTGTGTCTCTCTCATGCATAAACCCCTATCTTAACCCACACACATGGAGAGCTCTCGGCATCGAAAATGGAAGTACATGTGCTACATCAGCCATCCGTGCAAAACGGAGGTTCAACAAACCTCACCACGTGACGACTCTGGAAAGACCACCTTGACCTCAGCTGGTCCTCTGTTTCTTGAGCACGAGGGTCTCGACTGTCTCAGCCTTTGCCAGGTCTGGCCGATGCAGCACGAGACTCTCGCCTTTGTCGATGCGGATAAAGTTGCGAACATACGGAAGCAGGAACTTGGAGCTGCCAGGCTTCAGAGATTGTTTTTCCCAGCCCTTGGGGCCACCGAGCTCACAGTTGGACTCGTCGCGCTCCGTGGACACCCGCATCACCCACGACGGGTTCAGGAAGCCCCCCGACCCATCTTTGGGAAGTTGCACCACCGGCACGACATACAGGATCATGTCTTCGGACCCTATGCCCTTGATGCACCCCATCTGCACTGCACCCCCTGCAGCCTTCGAACTGGCTGCTCGTACATCCAAGCGGGTGCTTGCTACCGGTAGCCGCAAGGTCCCGGGTGCAAAAGCTTTCAAGGCCTGCACATCCCTCGACGGCTTGACCAGAATCTGGAAGGATTTCTCGTGCTTGACGAAGTCATGATACTGATCCTGCATGGCTATGAAGACCTGACCCTTCAAAGTGGCAAGGACAAAATCAGTCGAGACGTTTGGGGACGAGAGGTGCCAATCGGCGAGGACTTGGGGCTCCTGTTTCGGAGTGTGTTTCTTCCACTTGCTGTCCACGAAACTCTGGGCAGACACGGTGTGAATGCCCGAGGACATCTCCAACTCCACCGTATCTGCGGTGATTGAGACGATCCTCCCTTGGGCATCGTCCGCCTTGCGGACCACGTCCATTCCAACCGCGAAACCCATGTCAATGACCCTCGCATTGTTGACAAGATTCCCCGCACCATCGTACAGTCGCAGAGCCCTGAAAAGCACGAGAGGCACCAACAAGGAAAGCTATACATGGACATGCACACAAAAAAACATCAGTCAACTCTCGCGAAAACATCAAACCCTCTGGACATGTAGGCTGCCGACGATCCGGCAACCTCCTTCGAACTTGCTGCTGGGCTGGATGCTGCACTCGGCACCGAGGGAGCCCACTTTGAAGGCAAACTGAAACTGAGAGCTCGTTCATGAAGAAGCTCGTCGATGCTCCCGTGCTTGCAATACTTCCGCTTGCCGAGGATGATGGCGGCCATGCTCATCTCGATTTCGGTGACGGTCGTGGCAACAAGCTCAGGGGACATGGGCATGGACTTGAGGAGCAGCAGGAAGTCGGCCAACGAGCGCTCAGCTGAGGCAACTTTGCCCAGAAGGTCTCGACCGAAGGCCCTTTTCACATCACTGCCCGACACGACCTTCTCTGCGCCGGAGAAGGCCAGCTTCAAAAGCCAGTGTCTCCACGACACGTGCTGCTCCTTCCCCTTGACTTCCGTGGCCAATCCTGTCCAGAAGTCGTTTCCAAGGCTGCGCTTCGGAGCCCCATGAGCCCTGACATATCTCTCTGTGATGCTCATGTAGGAGTCCTCCTTCACACCGCCTCCGTACTTCAGGACGAAGATGAAGATACCAGGAAGTGCAGAGCCGCACGGCGGGCGAGAGCGAAGGATCTCGCCTGCCACGTCCTGGTATGCAACCGTGGTCGCACCAGGATTCTTAGCGAGGTGGGCCTGGATGGCCAAGTTGACTTTCCGAGCCAACTGCAGTTCGTGTTCTACAGCGGCGACTTGCCCCGCCGTGTTCCCTGCCGCTTGTGCGAGAGCAGCGTAGTTGGGGAAGTGCTCCGCGACGGAGTGGGTGATCACGAGCCACTCGACGCCCTGCTCGATGCATCTGTGCCACTCCGGGTCCACTGTGGCTAGCTTTGGCATGGAGAGCCGGCCATCCACCGTCACCTTTGGGTCGCTGTGTTCCAGGCCCGCTTTAAAGGCACGGAAAGTCTGGTTGGTATGACTACCGACGATGGAGGCATACCGCAAGGCTTGCCCTGACACGGGTGCCAGCTTGCCGGCAGCCTCTGCGACGAGCCTTTCATTAAATTGCCTCACTTGGTCGCCTCGATGGTCCGAGGGCACTTCGATACAGATCGCCTTCACCTCCTTTTCTACGAAACCTATCGCAGCGATGCTGGAGATGAGCTCCCCCACATGAGTCGCTGAGCATCCGATTCCGTCTCTGTTGTGGAAATGCACACCGATCATGTCAGACTGAACCTTCAGCTTGAAGGCCAGTTTCTCCTTCAACAGATAGTCGTGCAAACCCGTGATGGCCTGGACAATGGAGCCTTCCTGTGCCTTCGTTAGGAATCCACAGATGGTCTCGATGTTCTCCGGACTCAAGCTCGACATGCTGCCTACCTGTAGCTACGGCTGTCAACTATACTTCGGGTCCTCCTGCGAGCAACGCCCTGCAGGAAGAAGCTTTGCGAGCAGAGCCCTGCAAAGCTGCATTGCTCCATGTAGACATGGAGCAATGAAGTATAATATGAAATTGGTCCACTGGTTCCCTAACCAAAGCCAAACGGGTAGCCAACACAAAAAATAAGTAGAAAATACAACACTGAAAGTCGGAACCACCCTGCGGCCTTCGGCCACGAAACCAAACCCGAACCCATCCCAGTACAATATATGCAAAATCAAGCCAAACAAGCCTCGTGAACACAAATCTCGAACCCTTCTTTGTCCCCTGCAACATCCTCAACCCATGGCACACCTACACACGCCCCCACACACACACACCTGCATAATCTAAATGATCGAACAACAAGGGAAGTATTCCAAAGTTCGCCCCTGTTAAGACTACCTCTGCATGTGTGCATTCACACTAAAATTGAGGAGACCCGCAAGATGAGAAATGTACATAGTACACATGTGTGTGCATGCACATATATAAACCTTTGGGTCTCTGCAGGTGTGTGTCAGAAGCAACACCCTATATGTATATAGGAATATATTCATGCATGTGTATATGTCTATGATAAAAGTCCAAATCCCGGTGGCTTCGGCCAGCGAAATCATAACATCAACCTACCCAAATATACATCTTTATCTACTCAAGAACCCGATGCATGTATAATTATAACCACCCCCTTCCCTAAGAAGATGTACGATGCCCCCGGAGCCGCCTTCTTCTTCCGTACCTCTTTATATTGTGAACCTGGATATAATATATTCGATCCCGCATATAAAGCCCTATATGCTATAATGCCTCCCGCTATCTTGAGCTATATAAAGCCTACATTATAACATGACCCTATACCCTGGGAGCCGGCCTGCTCGGCGAGCAAGCAGCCGCAGCCGCAGAAAGCGACCGGAAGAGGAGAAGGGCAGGAGTTGGCTTCGGAGGTTTATGTAAATGGGGGGGTATTATCGTTTTACAGATATTGGATTCGGTTTCAACCGATATACATATATAGCATCCTGTACAACACACGTCCAATATTGGGTGTGCTTGTGCGATTGCTTTTCTACATAATATTAAGCTTCTCTCGGTTTGGCAACGATAGTTGTTTGTTGTTTGGGCATGTCATGTGAACAGGCGAAAATCACAAAACTACTGACTTACCTCACAGGCAAAAACATAAACAACTCAAATCCATGCCCCACATGTTGGCCAGAAATGGATTAAAACTCTTGGCGGCAAGCCCCTTGGAAATTTAAAAAAACAAATTCCTACACACGTGACACCTACAAAAACATGAATTTTATAATGACAACAAGGACCCCCTCAGCTGCCTAAGTCGACTTAGCCGACTTAGCCTAAGTGCACTTACGAACAACATACCCTATACTTATAACCCACTTATACAAGTAGGTTAAGTGCCTGCACTATGTAGGCTAAGTGGTTTGGCTCACTTACAAGATAAGTCCACTATCCTGCAGTGTATCTATTTAGTAACTGCCCAACTACTTAGCGACCACATATATTTTTTCCCTATCTACTTACTATCTTGCACAGCGAACATACACAACATATAACCCATTTGACCACCAACTTAGACAACATATAACCCAGCTTATCGGACTTACTAAGTCAACTTCGTAACCAGAACAAGTCGACCAACTAGTTATAACCAGCACCGACTTTCCAAGTACTGCTACGCTGGACGACGTGTGGTGGGCTATCCAAGACATGCAATGTCAGTTGGCAGCGATGGCAGCTCAAGCGCATGTCCCTGCGGCAGAAGGTTTGCCCTCTGACGAGGCCCCCTTGTTCCAAGGCCGAGGCCGTGATGCAGCCGCCACTCCCACTTTTCAAGGGGCCGATCACTCAGGGGCGTTAAAGCCGGACCTTCTGGTATCCTGCATCTGTCTCTTTGTAGGGTTTGTTTCTCAGCGGCACTCTGCGGCACGCTTCTGGGCCACACCCCTTGCCTTCCTCTTTCCTACCTGGGGGGTGCCCACGTTAGCCGGTGATCGCAGTCGATCCGGGTCCCCCTCGCCGCCCCCTTTCTTCGTTCTGGAGGCTATGGGCCTTGTAGGTCTACAGGTCGACACAGACACGCGCATACGTTGGCTCACCTTCCGGGCAGGCCACTTGCGGTGGGGGTGGCAGAGGATGGCAGGGCTCGTACGTCTGCTCCGGTTTCGGTCGAGTCGCCCCTGAACCTCCTTCGTGTGGCAGATGTGCCGACCATCCAGCATGTGCAAGCCGTCTACCTGCAAACGGAAAGTTTTGCTGGCATTGGAGTTCACTTGGGAGCCGCACCAACTCGTGTACCTTTGCGTATACATGACCCGTTCCAGCAACACGCCTGCGCACCTCTGTGGCTTCCAGTCGGAGGACCTGGCCAAACTGCTCCAGCCAACGATCATTTGCAAGACCACGCTCTTCTTCGAGGGTGGCCGCCTCTGGTCCCCGTCCGTCCCCAGCCCAATGGGGATGCGCTACACATGATCCCGTGTGCAGTTGATCCGCTTCGGGTCAATGTTGTCTTACTGAGTGACGACGGACGATTGTGGCCTGTATCGCTTCCCTCTCACATTACTGCGGACGATGTTCAACATCTGACTTTGGAGGGGAACCGTATCCGCCGTATCCGTCTGCACACACCCCGGGAAGTGTGTCAAGCTCCTGCCGATGTTGCCATGAGCTTGTGCGACGGAGACTGCATCCGATATGCATATGTCGGGCCGCCCAGGCCAGAACCTGTGACCGCTGATTCGCGGACAAGCCGAAGCACTGGCCGATTGTCACTCTGGTTGCTGGCCCTCTTCTTGCCGGGCTTGAGCCGGCTACGGTGGGCAGCCGCAATGTTCGAGCCTCGCTCCACCGGTCCGGTCTTTGTACCTTTTCCAGACTATGTGCGGCAGGGTCTGCGCACCGACCTGGTGTGCAGACCCGTGACCATTTTGACGAGGCGAATTTGCTCATGCTAGTCGAGGGACGGCACTGCCAGGTTGCTTGTCTTAGCCCCTTTTGGGGCGCGGGCAAGGCAGTCACTGTTGACGCAGAGGCCTCCTGTACCCATTCTTTTGGCAGGGCAGACAAAGACCATATCCTTTGGGCGGACGGATACGTCCCAGTGTGGCCAGCACCTGTAGCGGTTGAGCTCACGGTTGTTCCCACCCCTCCTGATGCTGCTAAGGTTTGCATAGTTGCGAGGGTCTGGCATGCCACTGTTGCGCTCTTGACGCCTCGAGTTGTGACAGTTGAGTGGCTGTTGCGCACTCTGAGGCATGTCTTTGGTAGGCATGCGCTGACCTTTGGCACGCAACTGCCGGCACTTCATACCTTCAGCTCCGTTCTGGCGACTACATCCTCGCCATTCCGGAAATGGCGACGAGTCCCGGCGCCACTGCTACTGATGACGAATCGTTTCTTCGTCATGCCGTCCCATGGAGCTTGCCATTTCGAGTCCTCGCCTCAGCGCGGGTCCGGCTCTGGCGGCCAGGCGACAATGCCCCACAGCAAGTGCATGTTGAAGCTGGTAGCACGTGGGACCCGGACCTTCTCACTTTTTCTAGCTTCCCTTTAAGCCACCTGGCGGGATCCTGGGTACCAGTGCCTTGGGTCAATGACGAGGTACCTAATCTTGTCTGCGTGCCAAGATACGGCCATAGTGCTCCATGAGCGCGATGGCAGCTGCACTTGCGCTTGTCTCGACAATCCGTGCACAGTAGAAAGCCTTGCCACTGTGTTGTCGGCCGCGCCCTCTACCCTCCAGATTGTAGGGTTGTAGGGGGCACGCTGTATCCTAGCCGCCCTTTCACGCTCCGGGATGGTGACATTGTTCTCAGTGCCTCTCAAACCCCGCGTACATTTGAGGACGATATGGCTGCAGAGCGACCAGTGAGCAGTGCCTGTCAGAATTATGCCCTTTCCAGAGCCTTCTTCGTTACCGTCCTTTCCCTGCTCTCTGACAAGCCGACCACCCGGCTGGGATGCCTCCTTGGCCTCATGAGTTTCAGCCAGGCCATGGATACAGCAGCGGAGGGCACGTGCAGTCAGCCTGCTTCTGGCTCGAGGGACCGATCTAGGTCCCCGGTGAGCGCGCAGCTGCAAGACCTCCCTGTCCACGAGGCAGCACGGGGGACGGGTACACGCTGTTCCGCTGATCGCCCACCAGCTTGCTGGCCCTAGCCCCGACAGCTGTCCGATTCAAGTCTGGTGCCCCTTTGCTGGGGTTACCGCAGCGGTCGCCTTCTGGCAGCAGGTTGAGGCCATTGCCCTACAGCACTCCCCAACCTTACCGTTGCTCAGCGGAATTTTGGATTTTTTTTGGCTTGTCTTTACAAAAGTCTTAAAATGAATTGATTTCCGAGACATAGAAATAAACATCGTGGCCCAAAAAGTTATTTTCGGTTCTCGGGGGCCATGGGTGTCGTTTGTTGTGGTTGTTGTTGTCGTTGTGTTCCTCAACTTAGTCAGAATCATTAGCATCCAATAGATTATCGAATGCAACCCCGGCAGGCAAGGACACGGTCGCGACAGAGACCGTGTGCGGGCTGGCAAAAAGATTCAGCACCAGCGGCGGGCCCATGCGGAGCAGCAGGAGCGAGATGAGCACCGACAGCAGGCAAGTTGTTGGAAAGCTAAACCCCAAACCCCAAACCCTAAGCCTTTTTTCCATATGTATATATACATATATACATATATATATATATATATATATTTATTTATCATACAAACTCTAAACACCCTTATGCCGAAGTCCCTTAACCCTAAATCGTAGCAGCATCAAAACCCAAACCGAAGGTACTCGCTCGTACCCTGCAGCAAGCCCTGTGATTTGCAAACCCATGGCATATATATATATATATATATGTCTCGAATATCTACGTAAAATACAGAGACATATGGACGATAAGCGAACCAAGGGTTTGCAACTTGGGTTTATTGGAGTGAA